ATTTGAAAGTTTTGAGTGCAATCGGAACATAGGCCCATGGAGAGGTAAATATCAATCCAAGTGGCCTGTTGCCTTAGCTTCTTGTTTTCGAGCATTGATCTTCATGGCTTTCTACTGAATTTTCAGCTGATTTAACTCACGTCTGCTATTCAACTCGTTAAACCTAAAAAATACATAAAATGAATGTAAATATGATAAAATGTAGCTATGTTTAGCCAAATAACTGTACAGCATTATGTGATTCAGATACTATAGGTTAACATAATATACACTGCCCACATATTCGGCTGCATCTGCATGCTTATTATCTCTGAACAAAGATCTGAACAAATGGAATAAAATAAAAATGCTGAAAAAATCTTACCTTGTACAGGGTATATTTATAATATTCCCTCCCACTCTTTCATCTTGATTGTGATGGTGCTTAACGATTTATTTTCAATGATTTGAAAATATTATTTTGGAACCGAGGCGTTATAATTTTATGGCTGAAATCTAAAAATGTATAAACAATATGAAGACATTTTTTCTTTGTTAAGATACGCCATAATTAACAGGCATCGGGAGTATTTACATTTTGTTCTTTGCGCTAGTTAATAGCGCGGCTGTGCTTTTCGCTCGTTTTTCGTTATTTATAAATTGAATTGTATATTAATTATGTATGTAAACAAATTAATAATATTTCGACAAAACTGACAGCGACAGCAACTTGTCAAGATGTCAAGTTAACATAGAGGTACATCTGTCAATAAAGCAGTGATTTCATAGGTTTCATAGGATTTCATACCTCCTTCTCAGTCTTTTTACTTTTAAAATTTCTGGGTTACCATAATAAAAGGATTAAACCTAGTATAAGGATAGTATTGTTATTCCGAGGTTATTCCATGTTTATTAATAGGAATTCATTTCTGAAGTTAATACTTTGTTAGTCCGGGATTAGCTAGTCCAAGACTAACCTGTGAATAAGTTTGGAATAGGAGATTTTTATTAATAAGACCGATAGATATTTTTAAAAACCATTGAAAAATGAATGATTTTCTAAAGCTAGACGACATGTTTGTGTGATTCATCTAGTACCTACTTGAAATTGCCGCTTAATCATCAACTCCTCGTTCATATCTAATAATTAATAGTCAAATGCTGACCTGTGACTAGGTTGGCATGATGGAACTGGCAGACCGCATCAGCCTCGTACCAGGAAATGCGGTCCCTGAAGTAGCGGTAGAAGACAGGGAATCCTTCCTCCGGCAGGACCCATGTGTTGCTGATATTTACCTGTATAACAAACATTGACATTTAGAAAAATGTTTTGTTAACCGAAATGTAAGATATTGAATATCATGACTATTAAAATTACCAGAATTATACATTGTACTTATGATTACTGTATATCATCGACAACTTGTTCCAGCAAAATTAAGAAATAAACATTCTAACAAAAACTAACGTACATTCAATGCATCATTTTATATCTCTGTCGTAGAGTACACAGCTGAACAGCCCACAGTAAAAACTGGTGACTTGTTTTCGCGTCGTCCCTTCAGCCATTTTTCACAGCGCCTGTCCGCTGCACTCGTCAAGTATTTATCTTATCCAAACAAACATACTATGGCTAACTTTTAAGAAAGAAAACTCAATATCTCAGTCTCCCAACCAATATAAAAGTTTATATTATGAATAAAACACACTCAGAATACAATCACATAAAAAGTCAATTCTAAAGAAAAGTTTATGAACCCAGTGTATGACGCCTAAGTTTGTGTATTCGTATTGCAAAGACTTATGCAATTCCTCCACAAAAGCGTCAATATTTGTTGAAGATTGCAACGAGCGCCATCTTAATGAACTTTTCTCATCGCAACAGTCCTTGCATTGAGAATCTGCTTAACAATAAGTGGATATAAATGTAAACTTTTTCTATTCCAACTGTCTAGCGCACGTTGTTCAAAATGACTCGAAACAAAGTAATACAAATAAACGCTTCGATGTGATTTTCCCAACTACGATTGTAGTTGTTCAGACTTGTTGTGGATAATTTCACCACCCAACGGTCCGCACCGTTGGAGCCACAAATTAGGTGCCTATTATTTAGCCCAAATTAACATTTATTCTCTTCAAATTAGAAGATTCCCTCGCTTTTTAATGGAACGTGAAATCTGACCGCCCTTAAAGGAACTTGTTTCCTTAAAACCTTTATAGATTTAAAAGCTAATTTCGTTTGTGTCTGTGAAATTTCCACGGGTCTCATTATTTGCTTAAAATAAATGGAGACAACAGCCCACGTGTTTTTTTTTTATAAATAAACAATGTGTCGACCCTCGATTGTACCCGTTCTATTTTAGTCGTCGATCATTAAAAGGTAAAAAGGAAGATCGTTCTCGTTTTTGCAATCAGTGGAAATATTGATATCGTTTTTCGTATAATATTGTGATAATTGATATTCTGAGGAAGTTAGAGCGTGCGCAGTGAACTTGTAAAGCAGCCCTCAAACAAGCTGTTTCCGATAACTTAATTAACATGCTGAATCCTCAAGTCGTCCATCTGACTTCGTAATTCAAACAAGCGCTCGTTCCCGCCATGTTTATGCGTAGAAATTGTTCAATTCGGTTCAATTATACATGAGTCCAATTGAATTGTCGAATAATGAATGATAAGTAGGTATCATTACCAAGTCAATGTTCATCAAATAAAAAATTTATATCATATTCTTGTTCTTAATCTTTTTCACTTTGTATTCAGTAGTTCAGGTACTAGATACTTATTGTCTTGTACGCGATAAACGCAATCTAACTGCCCGGGACTACTCATTATCATTACAAGCCAGAAGTGGAAATGTACCATTAAGTAATATAAAAAATACTATGGAATACAACCAACAAAATCTTCAAAGGGCAACATTACAAAAATATCTACCAATCAAAAAAGATTAATAATAAAAATATTCATCAGAAACTGGCTTAATCCTCGACACAAATTCAAAAGTACTTATTTCTTAGTACAAAGCCATTCATTGTATCAAAAGTAAAGATGGTTCATTTTCTATTGTTGTGTTCAATGAGTACCAATGTACTTTGTTCTTGGATTCTGGCCCTTGACGTCTTATCTTTTGTCTTTTACCATCAACTTTATAAATACATTGAGACTTTGCGTTTGACAGGTGGGGCGACGTCAGACGAATTGGAGTTCTATTACTGTACTCCGTGTGGGTGTTTTGCTTTGCTTTATTTATTATACACATGATTCTTTGAGTTTCTTTCTTGGTTGGTTACCTATCTCCAACATCTACGACATCTTCGCAGCCTTTTCCAAGAAATACCAACAATAATATCCAAGAGTAATTAAGTAAATACTTAAACGTATCGTATAACTTCTGGTAATTAAATACACCATTATATAAATAGTAAAAGATACTACATTGTAACTTTCTCAATTTCAAGACCTCATTCTGAATACTTGAGAAGAATCTTAAACCTTTCGAATTTCTAATTAAATTACGTACGTAGCTAAATAATCCGATACTAAATAACGTATCCCACACATAGCTTCATTGCCTTTACATAAAATCTTAAATCCCAACCTAAATTAAGCTCTTTCACTCACTAGGAGGCGCTGAATGGCTCTTTCATCCCGATACAGCGGGATAGCGGGATTCTAATTTTATGCAGAACGACTGCGGATTCTCCTACATGAAAGTTCCCTTTCAACCTGTGATCATCTTTTGAATTCCGAAAAACTATTATAACGTCAGTCGACGAGTATAATAACAGTGATTTCTTTCAAAAATAGTTTTTATCTTGGTTTATATTGTCTACATTTATAACTATTCAGTTCATTGTCTACAAAAAAGATTGTGTGCATTATTATAAAAAAATAGGTAATTTTTTTCTAATCTACACACTTCGCCAACCGCGGACCAACTTATAGTACTTAGTTAGTAATGAGCTTATACTCACTAAGACAGTTAACATATTAACGACACCCGCGGGAAGAGTTGGGGTGGTGACATACATATGTATTGCATATAATTCTGACGTCACTACACGGCTTGAATGGAATACGATTTTTTTTAAACTTACAACTCCTTCACCCACCTTCCCGTTGGATAAAAGTAACCACTGTTCCAAATACCATCTCGATCCTTTTAGCCGGTTTGACGTGAAGGAGTAACAGAAAAACGTACAAACTATCGCATTTATAATATTGTGTAGAATAGGATGCTAAGAGTATGTGGACAGCAAAGCGCACCAATGCATCGATACTTGCTCAACTTCGGATAAAAATTCAGTTGTCCACCATATGCCAGCAACATATCTTTTCGTACTTTGGCCTCACAGTCCGCAGGGGCGACGTGTACCTGGAGAAGCTGATTGTTGTTGGATACGCCAAAGGCAAGAGATCGCGTGTGCGTTCTCCAACGAGATGGACTGATCAAATAATAGGCTCGTCCTCAATATTTTGCACTTTGCACGGCTGTAAGAGACGAACTGGACAGAAACCGCTGGAATCAGTTCATCCGCTCCAAATGCAATCCTAATGCTGACCACGATCCTCAGACATGAGGAAACGACTAAAGAGAGAGAGTAAGATAGGATAAGAGAATAACTACAAGATGAAATCAATACTCTATTTTCAACTAAAGCTTATAACCCAGTTCATTAAAATCCAATTTGAAAACCCCATAAGCTATCAAATTATTGAATAACAGGATTATGACTCGTGTTAGCAAACACTACTCTAACAAAAGCTTTTCGATAATTAGATGATTTAAATCGAATCAACATAATGAGTCGTGCTTCCGACATTGACAAGTTTATGTATGTAGCTGCCACGATATCGAATAAATAATGGTAACGGAAATTATACTATTTATTTATGTACAGCGTAATCTAACAACAACATTAGGTAATCTATTTTTCTTTGTTATTTTTTCTTTAGGGATACACAAAACATGCTAAGTTAAGCTCCATCACTAGATAGTATAAAAAAACAAAGTCTCTATCCGCCGTCTGTCTGTCCCTATGTATGCTTACATCTTTAAACCTTCGCGACGGATTTTGATGCGGTTTTTTTTAATACATGAAATGATTCTTAAGGAAGGTTTATATGTATAATATATGCATATTGCACCCGAGCCAATCCGGGGCGGGTCGCTAGTTTTTTTAATAATGAAAAAATGTTGTCGATCGAATCTCGATCGTTACTTGTTTTTCTTTAATTTCAAACCCGTTCTATGTTTCGAAATAACAGGAAATCTGAATTGTTTTTAAATAAATTACAAAATATGCAAAATGATCGTACATAAAAGTGAATACTTAGGTGAGCTCTATATAATTGGAAATTCAAAATATTTATATCAAGTTTACTTAAAAAAACATTACGAAGTTTTACAAAGGAGTAAGTAACGACAGCATTTTTTTTAAATCACGATAAAAATATGTAAACGTCGTACTTTTCAACAACTTAACAAAACATGTTAACATAAGTCTTATCCAGCGAAAACTTCACAAAGCACCTGTATAACACGAAGATTATATCAAATAGCTCAATTTGGATAAAAAATGGCGTCCATTAAAATAATCGTTACGTCACTGCAAGACGCAAGAACATTAGGCACAAAGGGGTCCCGCGATAACGTTGTGGCAATGCCTAACTTCGGTTTGTTTGTGTATTCAACCGTTAGTAGTTTAAGATGGTACTTAAGACCGTTACATTCGCCCTCGGAACATAATGACGCATATGGAGCAATCCTCTTGATATTAACCCCCGGGGTGAATGAGACCGAGGATTCGCCCAACGGGTTAATGGGAATGAATGCATAATTATATGTTGTATTAATTTTACTTAATGAGCACATTCCTTTGCTAAATATGTGCGAATTAAATGTAGGTACTTGTTTTATTTCGTTTCGGAAGTTGTAAATTGTATTCATTTATTTATCGATCTTGCTTACAAATGTCGTAACAGTTTTTTGTTCTAATAAAAAGCTAATGAAAGTATTATCTAATTTGGATTCAAAATGAATACGTAACTATCTTTTGGAAGCGAAAAATAATCGTTTAAACTGTCAAACACCAAGCGGTCACTGGTGACCGCAACCTATTGTTCTATTATTGTGTCTACAAAACTGGTACTCGACGAGTTAAGAACTAATATTTCTAACAAACTTTTTTGACTGTTTCTTAAAGAATATTTTCTACATATTCACTTAGATAAGTTTTGAACTCAATTTTTCATTTACACGGAGCACGTTTCTCATTTGTTATCTTTTTTGAGTCCTGACAAAGTTTTTGCTACGTAGCAAAACGTAGATAAAGTACAGAAATATTTCATGCGCCCAAAACTTCTTTTATTGCGGTTTTATACTTTCGGCCCACGTTTATTTCTTCGACGATATATTAAAATATAATTCTGGTAAACTATACACTCGTATTACGTTCGTATTGTAAACAAGAGAAAACTTTTTACAGAGTTAATAAAAATGTTACTGACTAAATGTACGTATTTACTTTTCCCAAAACAAAAATAATATACTCGAAAAGTTCCTCAATCCAAACAAAGAATAACGGAATCAAACTAAAACTTTAACAAACTAACATTTGCAAGACATGAATCTTCATTTGAGTCGGTACTGCGACACCAAAGTTTTAAAGTAACTGGTGCAAAGTGCCCTCAGTTAGGGGGTTATAAGAATAGAAGCTAAAAACTGATACTTACCGCTCGTCCTTGAGCGGAGGCGAGCAGAGCCAACAACGCGACCGAACACCACAACATTACGTGGTCGCGAACACTCGTAGCAACGCGTAGCGACCGACTGTAGCCGTCGCTCGCCGTAGCGTGACTGCCGCAAGCTACGCGGCTACGAGGCTACGGATGTCGCGTGCCGCGGTACGACCTCTATACTTCGGACCTTCGGTCGTAGTACATTGTGTAAACAAAGTATTTGACAATAACATATTGTAACGATCGACCTTTTTGTTTACACCCCACTGTCATTGTAAAGAAATAAGGTCAAGGACACTTATCAATAATGAAATATTTGATCTAACTTCAAGATTATACTTCAAAAGACATTACGCTTTCGTTCAAATTCAAATAAAATAGAGCTAAAACAAAGAAGAAGACTTTAACTTATTTAATAACTATATTAAACTACGTCTAAGTTAAGCAATCGTAAGTCCTTATCGCAGAGAAAATTCAAGACTTTTGTAATTAAAGTAATTGCGTTTTAAACTAGATAAATTGGTCCATGGAGATTGCTTAATCATTTATGTAGCAACATTGCCAAATTCTTGAACGACTTATTGAGGCTAAGACATGCGGAAGAGAATAATGGCATGTTTTTGCATAACAAATAAAAAGTCTCGTCCCTCTCTGGGGTAAATAGACTCGAGGAAAATAATGTGCATTTCACTTATATAGTACGTATTGTATGTATATGATATTGGATGTCGTATAACTAGCGTGCTTAGGAATAACTTTACTGCCATCGTAAAACTATCTCACGGCCCATCACCGACTATCTTACAGGAGTGTGCGATACTACTGCCTACACACCTAAAGAACATTTTATATTATCCATAAACAAACCATAAACCCATGTTACTCTACTTAACTATTGAGGGAATGTTTATGTCAGACTAACCGGCCTTAAATCATAAATAAATCATTAAAAAGTTTCCAAGTTCCCCTTCGTGAAATTTCAAAATGATTTACTCTCAAACGAAGTAATTACAAATAAATTCAATTTCAAACGGTAGCCGAAGATTAAAACTGGAAAATTAAAATTATTAAAACAACTTTTTTTTAATTCTTTTAAGATTCGACATTAAATTTACAGTTTGTTTGATCGTTGGATTTCAGGTGGCAGCCGGCCAGGTAGAAGGCTTAACAAACCCGTTTACGTGGCGGAAGGTTAATTTCAGAAGTTTACGTTTGCCTTTTTAAGATTTAAAACAAACTTCGCAGGATCACGGGTAGCGTCCAATTAAAAAACGGTTGAATAAAGCGTTAAAGTATTTCAAGTAAAATATACATAACAATAACGACTTCCTTTTTAATCCTAAAGTTTAAAAACTTTCTATTCTTCTTAAACTTCGTCTGTTAGTTATATATAATAATGTTAATAAAACCTGCTTCAAAGTAATATGGATTTGAAAAATATTTTAAAGATTACGTAATTAGAGTTGTTACATTTCCTTTATAATATTTTTCCTCTCATTATGCTTTACCATCGTCCACCATGATACACAATACACCACAGATTTATTTAATTGCATGTTTAATATTATTGAATTGTGGTTAATTAACATTGACATCTCGCTTATTTCTAATTGTGTGTCGTCGTACTTTTATACATTAGCTTTTGCTGGTATTGTAAAAAGATAAATTAACAGGCTGATAAGTTGAACCACAAGAGCCATAACCACTAATTTGTATAAAAATCAATAACATAACATCACGCCTTTTATCCCCGAAGGGGTAGGCAGAGGTGCACATTACGGCACGTAATGTCACTGTTAATGTAACACCCACTTTTCACTATTTATGTTCTGACTCCCATGTAATAGGGGGTGAGCCTATTGTCATATACTGAGCACAATTCCAGACTCCATGCTACTACTGAGAATTTTATTTTAAAAAAACCTAGTAAAACTGCCAGACCCGGTAATCGAACCAAAGACCCTTGCCCGGCAGTCCCATTTGCCACTCGGCCAACGAGGTAGTGAATTGTTATCACATTTCATCCAATAACACGTTTAATAATTAAATTCATAGCCAGTCTCACAATTCAAAACACAAGACAAATCCGAAAAAAGGTATTAACAGGCTGATAAGTTGAGCAACAAGAGCCATAGTCATTCATTTGTTTAAAAATCAAATAAAAAAAAAATCTAACAAAAGCTGTGAATAAAACATCAGCCGTGTAACTGCACGTGAACTTTTTTAATTAATCCACGTCTCTTGAACAAACAAAAACACCTACACGCCAACGTGAAACAATTTTAATTACGATTGCTACAAAATATTCATCAGAACTCGAAAATATTTCAATATAAAAAGTTGTCGGTTTTGCTAGTCTAGTGTTAGCAAACGTGAGGTCCTCCATTCGATAATATTTTAATAAAACTGTCACTGGGAATAATAAAGAAGTGGGTATTCGACAAATAGAAGACAAAGGCACGAATACTTATTATTACGACTAATATCGCACTAGTCAAAATTATGTGTATTAAGTACCTATATGGTAATTAAGTGGTACGATAAATTATAGTGTTCCCATCTACTACACTACTTACATACCTACCACATTATAGTAGGTACTACTGTGGTGCTACCACTACGGTACTTAAACTGTCAAACACCAAGCGGTCACCGGTGACCGCAACCTATTGTTCTATAATTGTGTCTATAATGACGGTACTCGACGAGTTAATAAACATAGCATTTTGTAACCACCACATATATCATCCCACTTCTTCTTCGAACGTTAATTTAAAAGAATCCATTGGCAAGCTCCAACACAATTACAGACTCCATTCTATGACTGAGAACCCTGCGTATCAAATTCTCATAAACCAATTTCAAGTCATGGGATTGTAAGATAAGCGTAGCAGCCATTTTGTTACCCTATACATCGTGCAGGCTTCTCTGAAGACGGATTATTATGGGGCTGGAAAGCTTAGCCGGCAATCTTCTAACACAACAGATTGATGCCATAGTTTCATGGCTGTAATACGATGTCACGTTCAGATAACTATATATTGCCGTCTATTATTAGTATCGAGACTGTTATGGGATTATTTCAATGATTTTATGTTTATACAGCAACATAATGATCTATCTGAAATAGTGTGATCAAGACCGGTAGAATGTTATTCATAGGCTTATTTTAGGTTCTTGCATTTTGTAGTACCTATTTCCAATCACCCTCACAAAATTGACGTCAAAGTAACACATAAAAGAATTGGATATATTGATGTCAAAAGAAAACATTTTGCTTCCTTTAAACTGTCAAACACCAAGCGGTCACCGGTGACCGCAACCTATTGTTCTATAATTGTGTCTACAAAACCGGTACTCGACGAGTTAAGAAACGTGTGAGACATAATCAAAGTCAGTAACATGCCGCCTATATCTGGCCACTTTCCTCAACATGCAAGCTCACTTTCCGACTCAGCGCTGTACAGGTAAATGAGGAAAAGAGTCGACTTGACGAAACTGAGGCAGTTCCCGTACCAATCGCGGCCGGTAAGTAAATCCATTCTGCGAGTTCCTTCGGCACGTGACAACCATGCAAATGGGCCTCAACACGAGACACGAGCCAGTACACCAAATACTTTATTGTTCATTGCCCAAACTTGGGCCTCAACAAAATATTGTTCGAACAACTTTCATATGTTATTATCGAATATGGCACGGCCTAATGGTCGCGTTGTAGTGAATTCCAATGAGCAAAGCAAAGGAACATTTCTTCTCCAAAATTTAAAAAAATGCATTGATAATAATGTGCGATGCAGTTAAAAACTTTACTAAAAACGTGATTGCATTTCGAAATAGCTGTAGTTTTTACGGCTTCTTCAGTGAACCGGTGTATCAATACATAGTATAAAACAAAGTCGGTTTCGCTGTATGTCCGTATGTATGCTTAGATCTTTAAAACTACGCAACGGATTTTGATGCGGTTTTTTTAATAGATAGAGTGATTCTTAAGGAAGGTTTGTATGTATAATACATGCATATTGCACCCGTGCGAAGCCGGGGCGGGTCGCTAGTTAAGAATAAACAAACATTTCAGTGCGCTGTATATTTTTATGTGCAACTCATTCGCTATTTTACGAAACCGGTAATAACTTGGTATCGGCTATTCGGCTCGACGAACTATGATTGCGAATTTTACTTACAAATACGAGTACGGTTTATCGGTCCGCTGGCATTCTCTTTGTTTATTGTTGTTTCCGGGTTTATTACTCGAGTTTCGAGTCTCGGCGCTAACAAGCGGCTCTTGAAAATATTTTCCATTATGCAGGACCCGCGGCCGGATCCGAATTAACTTTCATACTATTCACACTGAAGCGAGATGATTGTGTGAGTACTTACGGTATTTCCGTCTTCACGAGGACACTGTTTGCATCGCTGAGTCCACGATTGGAATTTTAAATTACTTAAAATATCACTAAGGTAGGAGCGCTTTCAGAAAAAAATATCGTGGAAGCCAGTAAGTAGGTATTATTTTCCTTTGAGTGGATGTAGAAACAATAAATTTACTTAAAAGTGTTTCATTATAACTTGGATGGTGAATTGTAATGAAGTGGACGTGTTCACTTAGCTAATTGTCTTTTACGGAGGTAGGCGCGCGTCGTACTAGCTGTAACAAGCTACTCAGACGGACGTACCTAATTAAGTACCTGAACTTAATGGCTAAACTTCGTCCTAATTTTCTAGAAAACTCAGTAATAAAATAAAAGGACGGTCCTGAATCAGTTTACTAGTTGGTACGTGCTTTGAGTGTAAAATGAGAAGGAATGCAAACACCGCCAATTTCTTCTACACGTACCTTATTTATGGTTGCGAAGTTACGTTCACAGGGAGATTGTGTAGTTCGGAATGTGGTAGTAGTTATTATGGAAGACATATTTGCACTTTCAGGCATTTTGTAAGCACATTTTTTCTCATGACAAATACAACATTCATCATCATCATCATCATCATCATCATCATCATCATCAACAGCCTATAAGTGCCCACTGCTGAGCAAAGCCTCTTCTCACACGGAGAAGGTGAGCATTAATCACCACGCTTGCTCAATGCGGGTTGGTGATTTCAAACTTATAATTAGAAATTATAAGCCTAGGTTTCCTCACGATGTTTTCCTTCACCGTTTGTCAGTGGTGTCTGAATAACCTTAGAAAGTACATATAACTCGGAAAAGGTCACATTGGTACTTGTCGTTGGTAGGGTTCGAAACCGCACCCTCATACATGAGAAGTGGACGTCTTAAACCTCCGGGCTACCACGACACAACATTATAAAGATGATAAGCAAAAAATTATAAAAAACAATATAATAGGTACATTTCTTCTGACACGATACCAATTAGTTTCATCTTGAAACAAAATATATGTACTATATGAACTAGAATCAAAATGGTAAGTTTGGTATCTGTATACCAAACTTACACCTACCTTCTAATGAAAAAACAAAAGAACTACTAATCACATTTACAATTTCATCCGCAGATTGTTTCTGACATGGCTACTGAATTCTTTACACCACGTCGAGCCGTATCGATATCGTCCCGAGAACGCAATGGCGCGCTCCTTCTACGGAGCGAATAATGCCCCAACCAAGTACTTCGCTAATATCAATGAGATTCCCTTCCACGTCTTAATAGTGTATAGCAAATTCTACTGCTCTGGTACCCTGGTGAGGAGTAAAATTGTGATGACGGTCGCCAGCTGTCTCAATTTAGATAAATTCAAGAAGCTAGTCGTCAAACTCGGTGTTGAGAGTATCACTGGACATGGGTGAGTTTTGTTTTGAAAAGGTCTGTTAACTGTTGTTTAATGTACTAGAGTATACAATCGGGATAATGACAGTCAGTTGGGTAATGAAAAAATAATAGACATGTATTTTTTAATATCTACTAGAAATGTATTTTTTTTATTTTTTCGTATAAGAAATTGTTTTCTTACTTAGATGAAACGAATCAAAGTTTAAGAGTGGGAGGTAGCTACCTTTAAAGTATACAACGTACTCAAAAGAAACCTCATGCGATATTTCAAATCAATTTATCTTCGAAACTATTCGTTTCTGTAAGAAAATAAAAATACGTGTCTAATGTTCTTAAACAATCTACCAGACGGACATTAAAATAGAAATTAATCATCTACCCTATTAATAGTGGGCCAATAAAGATAAATTAAAAATTAAAATAAAACTCCGTTAAATTAAAAGTTGCAGTATACATATAGTTTGAACTTTCAAGTAATTAGTATTAACACTGTGAATTATATTGCTCAATAACTAAAAGTTTAGAAATAATCATTATTATTATTATACTAAAACCTCATACAGAAATTAGATAATAATACTAAAATCTCACAAACGTCTTTGTTCTAACCACGATGTACACAAAATCCCTAATGAAGCAAGCTATACGAAGGTATCTCTAAAGAGAATGGCTGCAGGAACAACGAGTATTACTCTTAGTTTAAAAGACATTATTTATAACTAGCCCCGTCAGCGCTGCACTAAGATTTTAATGAATAGCTTTTAATTTTATGTCGACCACCTCGCTTATACTCATTAAAATACATGAGGTAGATAACGGTTAAAAGAATTTCAAGAAAAAGATATATATAAGTATTTTTTTTAAATAGGGAAAATCATCGTATGACTGCTCCCGTCTGGGTGAGGTGGGGGGGGGGGGAGTATCAGACTCTTAGTGACTAAAAACCACCCCGTTCCCTCCCCTGCACGTCGAGCCGGAGCCCCGGTTACCCGTTAGGTTCTCCTCGACAAGAAAAAGATATATTAAGATAATATTGCGTCTTTTCTTTCTTACCATATCACCATATTCTGAACTACAATCTAAAATTAATTTATTCTTCTACGTTCGTCCTCCGCAGGCGAGGGGGTGCCATGAGGATTTCCCACCTCACCTCGGGGTCAAAAAAAAAAACTTTTTTACCACAATTACCTACATACCTATTTCCAGTTTAATGTAGTATTATAACAAATGTAGTAAATTAGGATTTTATTATTGGATTTGGTTTCTGTCTAAGAATTAAACATTTTACCAGTTATGGCATTAAATACTTTTGATAATATGCCATCCATTCTGTGAAGGAACTCTAAACCTTTTATATTATATTGTATTGTATACCTATATCAGTTACTATATCACATAACAAATTAATTAACTAAAAATGACGAGTTACTCACGTAAATATACTGAGAAAAGCTCTACTAGTTTCGAGTCACAGAGGGACTCTTCCTCATGAGCAGCGTGGCCGGTCGCAACGATGTCACACAGCGTACCGTGAGAAAGTCGTAATTTTTAGTTAAATCAGCATGTCTCACAATAGTTACTAAAAAAAATAAATTTAATGTTTTTCAGACAAGTAATACCAGTTATCGACATTAAGATCCACGAGTATTACAAATACATGGGGCGGATAGACAACGACATCGCCTTGCTAATGTTGCAGGTATAATATAATATGTAATCCTCCTTCATTTTGCTTAATCAAATATCTATGTGGTCCAAATAAATAAACGAATAACGACAGATTTGTTGTCGGTGCTCCGCGCTCCGGCTCGAAGCGCAGGAGTAGGAACGTAGTGATTTTTAGTCAGTAAATATCTGACACTCCCTCTCACCTCACCCGGGTGAGAGGTGCCATTGGATGACTTTCTACCATTAAAAAAAAGGGGTGCGGTGCCAGAAGACCTCCCCGTGGTGCACCCTGGGTGCGGGCGACAGTCTCCCTAGCGGGGGTGATAGGGTTGGAGTGACTGTCGCCCGCAGCAGACTTCTGGACTGGGCGGGCGAACCCGATAGGGTTCTGGAGGCGGCGGGCTGTGTGCTCATGGCCCGCGCTTCCGTGGGGCGTTTCTCCGCC